TTTTAATTTTTTTTAAAGTTAATGATACTTCACTCAAGGTTGCACAATCAGTTTCGGGGAAAGTAGTTATTACAAAGTTGATTTTATATGTTAAAAAAGAAATAACTTTTTTGTAATTATATAAAAATAAGTTATTAAATTACATCTTAAAATTTTTTGTCTAAAGAATTTTTTGTTAAAAATAGTATCTAATAATTTCTTAGTTATATTTTTAGGTACCTATCAATTAAAAAACATTAAATTGCATGAGTCAAATTTATATTTTTTATTTTATTAAAAATAAAATATTATTTAAAAATATTTTTTAAAAAAATTGAACGTGATATGTACATTTAACGGTAGACATCTAAAAGTGTAACGAAATTTTTTTAGGCAATTATTTTTAATAAAAAATTATTTAGACATCAAAAGTTAATTTTGAATATACTTAGAAACTTAATTTTATATTAAACCTAATTATTAGAATGAAAGTATTTATAATTTTTTTTCAAGAAACATAAATATATATTAACTATTAAAATAATTTAAATGTTAATTAAATTTATATCATTTTACTGATTTAAAAATATAAACATTCTAATTATTTTAAATTTCATTTAATATGAACTTATAATTAATTATTTGGGTAAATTACACCATTCATCACTGAATTATACTCTCTCCTATTTTACTCACCGTATTTTCAGTTTTTCTAATTTACTCACTGAACTTTTGAATTGCTATTGTTTTGATAACTTTGAATTATTTTATTATTATTTTTATATGATTTGGCATTTATTATTATTATTATTTAATTAAAATAATTGAAAATATCAAATAAAAATAGGTGACCGAACACCACAACTGACCATCGTCATCGACCGTCCTAGATGGTGGCTGCTAGGCCCCAAATTTCATGGGTCATTAGTCTCGACCCCTGAGTCCAAATATATGTTATTTCATCGAAAAATATCCCAAAACCCATAAATCTCGACTAAACCGTTCGACTTATTTTCAATCTTCAATCCGTGGACTTCTGAGCAAATTCCGACAAACGAAGGTTGGATTTAAACTCATGACGTCGAGGCGAAGTGATTCATGAAATTTGGACCGAATAACCATAATCTACGTATATCCGTTACATTCTATTTTTATTTATATTTGAAATTATTTTATATTAAATAATAATAAAAAATCAGGTTATATAAATAATTCAGAAGATCCAATCATAAACAATTTAAAAGTTAAATGAATAAATTAAAAAAATTAAAAATACAATGAATAAAATAAAAGAGAAAAATATAATTTAGTATGGGATGGTATAATTTATTTAATTATTTTTATGAACAACAACTTCGGGTTATTCGTAGAACCTAATTTGTTAGGAAGTGCTTAAATCGTTGTTATAGAAATCCTTTTGAATAAGTAAGTCCGGACGTTGACAATGTCGTTTTTGACCAAACAACGTCAAAATTCAGCAACATAACCAATCATTGAACAGAAAATGGAGACGTGGATGAAGGAATATGCAAAGAGAAAACGAACCCGATATCCAGCGAAACGGAGCGATTCCTGGATCATTCGAATCTGAGCGGTACGATGATCCGAACCCGAAACATCGGAATCCGGGTCGTAAAACCCGTGTGCATATGCTCACCCCATATGTCTTCCCAAATCCCGGACGACTCGTCGTAAAACTCCGCTATCCCATCCTTCAATTCACCGGAGTCGTCCGCGGTGGCCGAAGACGCCATACAAGAGGACACGAAGCGTCCCATTAGATTGAGAGGCGCGGGAGAAGACGAGGAAGAAGAAGGGAGGAAATTGAGGACGTGGCGGAGATGAGAGTTGGCGCATGCGAAGAAGGAAGAGAGCGTTTGCAGCGCAGAAGCCATTAATTCAGTGTTAGTTTTTTTTCAGTGATTCGTCCTCGTTTTGGTTTGGCTCTGTTATAGTAATGGCCGGAGTCGTCAAAGAGTAAAATAAAAAATGGAAGAGCGGCGGGTAGGAAAGTGCCGCCGCGCCCGGCGTCGTAGTCGATAAAAACAGAGAATTCACTGTAGAAGGAAAAGGAAGTAGAAGCGTGTGTGAAATTGCAGTAATGCTTATGCTATGAATAGATTAGTTAGCGTTTGGTTGGTTAGAATGTTTATAAGAGAATTAAATCTATGAAGAATTGAAATCTAATTTTATATTTGTTTGGTTGACAGGAAATTAAATTAGAATCAATTTCATATTTTGTTTGGTTCACATATGTCAGATGAATTTAATTTCAGTAATTAAAATGATAAAATTGCCCTTCTTGTTTTCTTGCTTAATTTTAGTTTGTTTATAAATTACATGTAGCAATATATTATAAAATTTAAAAAATATTAAATTTTAATTTTATGATTGATTATTCATTTCAATAAATTTTAAAAATCATGCTAATAAACATGATAAGTTAAAATCATCCTAATTAGGTATGACCATAGTCGGGTTTTTAGTCCACCTGACCCGACCCGAGACAAGAGAACCTCATCCGAGACCCGACCCCGCCAAAATAAAGTTTCACCCGACCCGAATATATAAATTAGAAACCCGACCTTAGCCGAAATAATAAAATATTTTTATTCAATAAAAACGGTGACTTAATTGAAAAAATTATATATAGAGGGGTATTATTGTAATTATTCCTAAATATATAAGGCAAAATTATATTTTTTGGTCGGGTAGGGTATTTTTCACCCTAAACCGAACCCCGACCCGACCCGAATATCACACTTAAAAAAATCGACCCAACCCGACGAATATGAATTAAAAACCCGACCCGACCCGAAATAATAAAAAATATTTTTATTCAATAAAAACATGACTTAATTGAAAAAAATTATATAGAGGGTATTATTGTAATTATTCCTAAATATATAAGATAAAATTATATATATTTTCGGGTCGGGTCAGGTAATTTTCACCCTAAACCCGAATTCGACCCGACCCGAACAAAATAAAGTTTCACCCGACTCGACTCGAATATATGAATTAGAAACTCGACCCGACCTGACCCGAAATAATAATAAAATATTTTATTCAATATAAATAAGTTACTAAATTGATGAGGGTATTATGTCAAATTTCAATTCCCTCAAACAATGTAATTGAATTCTATCATAGAATGGATGTAATTCACTTCCCTCATTTGATGAAAAATTGAAGTCATGAAGGATTCTAATTCCCTTTGAAAACTTGAATTAAACATGGGAAAGTGGTGGAATTGGATTCCAATTCCCCCTAATTCCAATGGATTCCTTCAAACCAAATATCACCTTTAAGGGTGTGTTTGGTTTGGGGGAATGTGGATTCCATTCCCATGAGAAATGGAATCCACATTCCCCCGTTTGGTTGTCGGAAATGTTATTCCGGTAATCTTACATTACCAATAGTAGATTTTTTTGGGGTATATTACTGGGAATGTCATTACCTTCATTTCCTTAGGTATTGTTGGATTACCGGTGTTTTGGACTAAAATGCCCTTAAAAAAATTTCTTTAAAAAATATCCTTATTCTGTCATTAAATAAAAATTCTACGAAGGTTAAATTATAAATTTATCCTTAACTATTTTAGATTTACAAAAAAAAATCTATAATTAAAATTTTATATGAAGTTCAGGGTTAAATAAAATTTACCCTTTCATTAAACATTTTAATTTTTAATTTTTTTAAAAAATTTATAAATTTTATGAATTTAAAGTTTTTAAATAAAATATTTAAATATTTCCAACTTATTAAAAAACAATATAATACGGACAATTTGGCCAAATATACATTCCAATATCTTTTATTCCTTTAACCAATACGATAATCTTATATTCTTGTTAAACCAACCAAACACAAAATACAACATTCTCAGTAATCATATTCTCTGGTAATCTTTTATTCCCACTGGTAATCTTACATTCCGTTAACCAAACGCACCCTTAATGGATGTTTGGTTCAAGTAAATAGAATGTCAATCTCCTGATTGATTAGCCAGTAATCATATTCCCCGATAATTTTTTATTCTCAACATTGGTATTTTGGGTATTTACCGGGAATGTGATTACCCCTTTTACTAGATATTGGATTACCGGTGTTTGGACTAAAATGCCCTTAATTTTTTTTAAAAAAAATATCATTCTTTTGTCTTTGAATAATAAAAATTCTACGAAGGTTAAATTACAAATTTATCCTTAAATTATTTTAGATTTACAAAAAAAAAGTCTATAATTAGAATTTTATATGAAGTTCAGAGGTTAAAATAAAATTTTACCCTTTCATTAAACCTATTTATCTTTTCAATTTTGTAAAAAATATAAATTTTAATTTAAATTTTTAAAGAAAATATAAAATTAATTATAGTAATATTATAGTATAATTCAACTTGTTAAAAAATATAATAAGGATAATTTGGTAAAATATACATTCCAATAATCTTTTATTCCTTTAACCAAACACTGTAATCTTACATTCCTACTAAACGAACCAAACACAAAATACAATATTCTCAGTAATCTTATTCCCACCGGTAATCCTATTTCCACTTCTAATCTTACATTCCGTGAATCAAACACACCCTAAATGGTTACAATACTTATCGTAGACGATATGTGATCTTTAACAACCCAATCTGTTAATAATTTACCTACCAATTATTTAGCTTTTTATAATTTATGTGTCCACAAACTTTTTAAAATAAGTTGTATTAAAAAATATTATTTTAAATAAAAATGAGTTTATCATGTTGACGAGTACCGAGATAATCCCTCTTCATGTGACTTCCTCCACAATTGAAACAAGCTAAATCACCCTTCTTCTCCTAAGGATTGGAAAGCTTCTTCGATCGATCATTCGCTTTCCATTACCCCTGATGGCTTGTGGATTCACCCTTGATGTAACATCCTCAATACCGGGTTAGTGACTAAATTGAGAATGAGACTTATATGGTAGGGTGCTTGCTTTGCATGTGAGGGGCTCAAAGTTCGATTCACTGCACTTCCACTTTATATCATTTGGACCATTTCTCGATTTGTGCGGGTCATCCTTGTGCAGGGTCATGCTAATCTTCTCTGTATCGTTCCAATTAGCATGGCCCCTGCGCAAGGATGACACGCACAAATCGAGATGTTTGAATTTTAAGCATGTGCATCGATGCACTTCTTCAATAAGAGATGGAAATAGCTTTCTTTTAGCCTAAGAATTAATAGTTTGAAATATATCAATTCGTATGCTGATAAGTATCAATGTATTACTATGTAGATTTAGAGCGTAATCTTGTTCCAGAACAATCGAAGGATTAGAATCGAATCAAGCAAGGCTAAGGTGGGTGCATTTTATAGTTAAGTGTATAGAGACAAGACTTGTGATAAGTCTATCTCTAATAGTTGAATTAATGATTTCATATCCATGTACATGCATACATAGACTATTGTAATAGTGATTGCATGCATAATTCATTATATGTTCATATGACATTGAATGAACGAATATCATTGCCAGAAAATATAATCCAGGTATGTGAAAATACTGGAAAAGATTATGTGTTTACATGAAAAGTGATGAAAGAGATATGAAATGAGAAACGTATTCGTATTAAAGCCCATGTTATATGATACGAGAGCTATAGGTATAGTTGGCATGCCAAGAGTCGAGAGTATAGTGGTTATTCGGGACATAGTGGTCCTTCGGGACGTATCCAGTGGTCCTTTGGGACATAGTGGTCCTTCGGGATAAATACTGAACAAATGTTCGGTGCCCCATGAGGGAATTTATTGAGCTGTGGTGACAGCATTAGTGCACAATCTCAATGTACTCAAATACCTCTGTTCTCAATAATGTACATGGGCAATTGAAAGATAAAGTAAGGTGAAAGTGATACAAGAAAATAAGTTTCATATGTGCATGACTTGATTGTATCAGTTACAGTGAAATATATACATGCATACTGAAATGTTATGATCACATGGTAAGAATGCACATTCATGAATCTATAGCTACATGTTTATTTATTGCCTCACTAAGTCTATGACTTAGCATGTAAGTGATTTACACGTAGGTACTAGGAAACAAGAAGAGCAGTACTAGAAGTGGCAAGAATAGCATCACTACTAAAAGATCAGATCAGAAGTAATTGGCAAAGTAGGTATTTTTGGGTTGTGTATAGAACGTTGGCATGTAATAAGTCGTTAATTATGAATGCTTTGGTCGCTTTTGTATTTCATAATCTCTTTTATGTAAATTAACGTATTTTGTTTTAATGAAAGTTTAAAATTTCCCTGTTTTTCTTTAAGTGTCAAAGGTTGAAAAGTCAATGTGACACCTCGGACTCATATTCGGGTCGGATACGGGTTAGGGGTTTTACATTTGACCTTCTATCTCCCACCATTTCCTTTGGGATTTGGCTTTGGTTTGAGAGGTTAGGTCTTCTTCACTTCAAACGTGGCAGTGGCCTCGACTGCATCTAATGCCTTGGAGAGTTCAGTCACTCCCCTCCTCTGGATCTCCATGTTAGCCCAACGTTGTAGTTCATCCATGAACGTAAAGAACCCTTCCGACTTGCCCAAATTCGGAATTTGTATCTTGATCTCAGTGAAGTTCTTAACATACTCCAAGATGGTATGACCATGTTTCAACTGCTTCAGTTTTGCTTGAGCCTCGAGATGAGCATTTTTCGGATAGAAATGCTCCTTGAGTTCAACCATGAACTCCTCCTATGTCCCCGATCGGAATTGCCTTCTCCTTTTCCTCGGAACACCTACGTCGCCACCATAAGAGAGCGACATCAGTAAGATAATTTGAAGCTCCATTTACCTTGGTGGTATCATCCCCGATATCTATGCCTCGAAAGAATTATTAGTACTGCTGAACATCATTAACGATAATTATTGTTGAGAACCATTAATTTAATTTAATAAAGTTTAAATTTCTAAAGGACTCAACATATAATTATAAATTAGTTAAAAATTTAAAGATAATTATTTAAAATACAATATTAATTACATTATTTTCATAATCTTTTTTAACAATAATAAGATCAAATACCAACCTCTAAATTAAAAAATACTAAATATTTTTTCCTTGTTTAAATAATTTACCCTTAGTTAATTTATACATTGAGTCCTTTTAAATTTTAAATTTTTATAAATTAAATTAATGTTGTTAAGTGATGCTCATCGTTAATGGTGTTCACCGGTACTCGTCGAATGTTATAGAATTTTTCTTAAATAAAAATTAATATGTGATGTATTGAAATGTATAATTTTATGTATCATCGGTGAATTAAATGATAATATGTTTTTTATAAATTATTAAATATTAATTAATTAAAATTAATACGTGATGTAATATTTTTATGTGTGACTTGGACTCTTGCTGGTGAATCTGTTCTTCACTGACAGTTGGCTTTTGTTCGATTTTTGTTGTCTGATGAGCATGAGAAACTGTCGATAGCATGCTACGAAATGTGGAATTATCCACTCTTTCTGTTTTCCTCCAATGAATGTGTTTTTTTGCAGAGTTTGATTCAAGGATTGCTTATAAAATCTAGAACAAAAAGGAAATTACTATTTCACTTCCGAGCTCCGTATTTCGGGAAAAGTAGTTGTACAAAGCTAAGAAACTGCGTTTACCTTTTAGTTTCTAGTGTGTCAAACAGTCCGCCTACTAGGTCCTCTTCCCTTCACAAGGTGCATGGTGATATATAAGTCTTACTACCATTGTACTTCGTTGTTAGTATTGATTTTCAGAAACTTCTTCTTTGGAGTGAATTACCGAGTCGGTATATTCCTACGGTGCAGATGATGGATTGGTTCCATGCAACTTTGTTTTTAAAGTTATGGAGATTTCCAGGGTTCGGGGCACTTATGTCCAATAGTACACTGTTGAATTCCAGTCACAGCAGAGTGTTTTTTACCGTCTCTTTGAGTCCGTCTCCTTCGTTTAATTCAGGGAAATTTATGACAAGCATTCTGAATTAGTGGTATATCGACCCTCTCCGTTTTCTGTCAAACGGGAAAGAATCATACGAAGAGTAGAATTTGCTTTCACCGTTGTTAGAACCTTGATAGTAAGACTTGGTAATTCACCTGTAGCTCGAAGTTACTTTTGCCTGCAAATTTATACGCAGTCTTTCAAGTTGATAGGTTATTCTAGACCAGACAATTGGTTTATTCATGCCATGTTTGTGTTCTTTTACCATGCCGTAGTCGTGTTTCTTGTATTAGATGTTCGGTAAATATTTTTTATAGCTTCTCGGTCTTAGTAAAGTTCGGTCTTGTATGGTGCAAATTTATACTGCATATCATTTGTACCAAGTTCCATGACATCTTCAATTTTTCTATTCGGTTTATATCGTTCCGATTTAGTCATTTCTTTCAAGCTGATGATGGTTGATCATGATTTTAATGTGTTTTACTCGATTCGTTTGAACACGTACGTATGTATCTTCAGGGAAGTAAACCCGAGGTCAGCGGGCATAGTATTTCCTTTGAAGCTTCAGGGAGCAACCATGACGCATGGCCTCTAACGCAATCTAGAGTCTCGTCGTTCGTTCAGTCAAAAACCGGCAGCAACCCGATCTTCCATACTGATTATCCCCAGCATTCACTTTTTGGCGATTCCAGCTCGGGAGGAGCCGCGAAGCACGAGGGTCAATCTCTTCGACCATTCTTTGACGAGTGGCCTAAAACCAGGGACTCTTGGCCAGATCTCGAAGATGACAGATCCAGCCAAGCCTGATTTGCTACCACACAGCTATCGATATCCACTCCGGTGGGGTCGTCCCACTTCTCCACAACTAGTTCTCATTCTCTGCACGGTGAGTTTCAAACTCCATAGTTCCCCCTCGTATGTCCCATTCGTCTGAAACTCCGATACCCACATTCGAATAGTTTAACGAACTGAAATTCGAGACTTCCCGGAATCCGATACAAGAGAAGGCCCGGAAAAAAGTTCTAGCTACTTGACTAATGGTGTACTCTTTGATGATTTCCCTTCAGCATGACTTAGTGTAATATCAGTACAATGCAAAGTTGTGGTTTAAGGTGTAAAATAATGCGAAGTATTTCGAATAATTATTTTAGTTAAAAGTTGATTAATCTCATATCTAATCCTTAAATAATAAATTTAATTGTTTGATTTTAAAAATTATATAATTTTTAGAAAATATAATAATTGTTTGTAGCATTAACTAATTAAATTACACTCTAAATTATTTGGTACAAAATCAGATTGAGATCCACGTTTTAATTTTTTTTTTTGTACAAAATCAAATTACATTATTTTTATTGAATTAATTTAAAGTTATTAACTTAAAGTTTTAACCAATTTGATATTGAACTAATTTAAAATTATGATCAATTTAATAAATTATATAAGTAATAAGGATTAAATGTATAATTATATAAGTTTTATTGACCAACAATTTTGTTAATTGTTAATCGCAAGTAGTTTGATTAAATGCATTTTAATAGTTTATTGACCTAATTTGTAAAATTTCAAAAATAGTGGTCAAAATGAAAAGGATCAAGAATTAGGTGATCACTATTATAATTTATCCAAAAAAATTATGGGGTAAGATTTCAAATATGGTGATCAAAATAAAAATGAAAAATAGTTAGGTGATCACTGTTATAATTTATCTAAAAAATTATGGAAAGTAATATAATAAATATTTTATTTTAATTAATTTATAATTATAAGTTGCGTGCTTTAAAATTTTAAATTATTGTTAGTGGTGCTCAGCAGTGTTCGTCGGGCATGACAGATCCGTTTGAGAAATTATATTTATTCCTTGAAGTCTCATATTTAAGCATCAAGAATGTCAGAGGTAAGAACGTTCAATATAAAATGATTGAGATTTATCTATGAACATGTATTATCTTGTACTTACATCGTTTGTATTTATATTATTTTATTTATAGTAAATGATTTTTTATAAATATTAGTTATATATTATTTTATTAAATAATTGTTATATATTATTTTTAAAATTAAATTGATATGAATTTGTCTATATTATTATGATTGGAATTGGCATTACGCAAAAGAGAGCGGATCCATCGAAGCGCTTGCTTTGGACTAAACGGTAAAACTCGTCGTTTATGGCCAAGGTTTTCATAACACTTTTACTTTAGTACCCCTCAACAACGTTGTTAATAGAGTTAAATATCTAGTAGGTATATTTACAATATCCTATATCTCAATGTAATATATGATATTTTTTTCTAATTTCATATATAAAATTTAACGGGGTTAATAATTCATCAGTTTCTGTGATGAAATCTAACATGATAATAGTGAATCATTTATATATATATATATATATATATATATATATATATATATATATATATATATAATGACAAAAAATTAACGGTGGTTTAAATAATTTTTTTAATTTTAATTTTTTAAAATATTTTAATTTTAATATTTTACTTTTGATAAAAAAACCCTCCGTGGATGAAAATTATTATTCAACAAACTGTGAAAACTCCAAAATGTGAACGTACTAATATTTTAATATCTAAACTATCAAATTTAGTTTGTTTTAGTATTTAAACTTTTATTTTTTTAAAATCATACCTAAAATTTAATTTTTTTTTCATTTTAATACATTGTAGTTAAAACTTAAAAACTTTAATTTTTTTTAGTTTAGTATCCTATTCAAAATTTAACTTTATGTTTTGAAAAAAAGTAAAAGTTTAGATATTAAAATGAACTAAAACTTGATAGTTTAGTTATTAAATTCGTTAAGTTTTTAACGGTGGGTACTAAAATGAAATGGAAACTAAACGTTAGATATGATTTTAAAAAAAATGAAAGTTTAGGTACTAAAACAGACTAAAACTGATAGTTTAGGTACTAAATAGGTAGTTTACCCAACCATTTCGTTAAAACAGAAGATTTTAAACAATGAAGGGACAAATTCGTAAACAAACTAAAATCGACTTGTGATAATATATATTTAATTTCCCCTGTTCTGTTTATTCCTTGAAAAAAAGTCCAACTAATTTCTCTTTGATTCCTCTCTGTAGATCTCTAATGGCTTCCTGCATAGCTCCCGTTTCCATTTCAGGTTTTTCATATTTTCCGTTCTTAAATAATTTTTTGCTTATTATGCTTCGAGTTCACTTTTTGATCTCTTATTGTGCTCTGCTGACTTGAAAGTGAATTTTAGGAATAGAAATTTATTCTTTGCTTTATGTGTTCATTTTAAAAAAATTGAATTGATGAATATTTCTATTGATGTTATCAAATTTGCTTGGTGTTTGGTGCTTTGCTACTCTGACTTTTCATTTTTCTTGCATCATCATGTCTGTCGCTTGTATTTGATGTATATCTGAACATGGATATGTGATTTGAGTCTCCAAGGACTCTCAAAATAAACAGAAGAACTTATAGTAATGAAATGAACAAACTGTGTTGGATGCATATCTGTATCTGAAAGTTACACCTCCGTTCAAGTATCATAGGTTTGGTGTGAAAAATCAAGAACGTAAGAGGGAAGATTTGAGTATTCAAATGCTCTGCATTATGAAGTTAAAACATGTAAAATGGGATAGAACCTTGAAGTAATTTTCCCCCCTATTTCACATTGCATTGGTTTTCACTGTGTATATTCTTCTTCGGACTTGTGATAGATTGTTGTTAATGCTGGATACAACAATGAAATGATTTATTATTGAGTTCTTGCCTTATGCTCGTTTGGTTGTCGCTTCTTTCTGGTTTATAGGTGGTTCTCATCTCAAGGCAAGTGAAGTTAGTTTCACCAAGTCCAGCACCTTTGGGAAAACACCAAGTTTGGCAGTTCAAAGGAAACCAATGGCATCCAACCATCGGTTTTCTGTTTGTGCAGAGTACCGGTACGTCAATCTGGAATATTCCATGTTAAATAGGCTTGGTTGGTTATTCATGTTTTGTATAAGAATAACTCACTCTGCAGTGAGCTAACCCCTGATTATTAGCCATAGTTACTCCATCCATATATCTCTAAAGCTTTTGTTTTAATGTTTGAACTAGATTTCTTGTAAGCTGTGTTATTCGATTACTAACTTGCCAACTCCCGTCTTAATAAATCACCTTGGTGCCAAACAGACTACCAAGGAAGTCATGATCTTTAAAGATACTATATTCCAAACTCAATATGGAATCTAAATTTAGTTGCCTAACTTCAATACAGAAGTGCTGATATTAATATCCAAAAGTCTTGAGGTCACTACAAACTGTCTGTAGAGTTACTTTTGTCTCGTTGAACGCATTTGGAAGAATGATTTCATTAGTAACATTTCTGCCTAGCAATACTTGGGCTAACCGTTGATACACTTGCAGTATAACCCATTGTTGATACCTTTCAGCACTCAACATGTGGGGTCAAAAAACTACAGTATATCCCATTTCCTTTATTTTGGTTTATTTATTTAAAATTGTTCAGTATATTTTAGGGGCTTGTGGAATCGAAAAGCTCCAGTAACCTTCTACTACATGCAATGGTTTTTTATAGGATTGTCCAATGGTTATTAAGTTGATTATTGGATGGTTACTCAACTCAAAAACTCAAAAGTTTTACAGCATAGAGCTGTCCGTACTCCATCGCATATTTCATTCCATTCTTTATGTCTTAATGTTCTTAAGCCGATTCTTTAAAAGAAAAGCTAATTTTTACTTCTTTGGATGGTGTGCTATGTTTAGATATGGTCCAAGTTGCATTTTGCCTGTTACTTCTGTTGATTTTGTTGCTATAGTGATGCTACTTATTTCTACTCTATTCTCATCTTTTTGCTGTTCACTCTGATGATATATGAAGTGCTGGAAATAGGGGTGGAGGAAATGATTTTGCAGCTGGTTTTCTTTTGGGAGGGGCTATATTTGGAACTTTGGCATATGTTTTTGCGCCACAGGTAATTAGTATTTGCTTTCATCTTCACTTAATTTTCTGCACATATTCTAACATATCCAATCAACGGCCTTGTTTTTCTTTTACACCATAAAAGATTCGTTTTTTGGCCTAAAATTCTTGACCTGTTTAGCATTTAATTTATGGTGAAATGGAACTTTCAACCTCAAAAGTTGTACCAATAACAATGCTATACAATGAATCTTGGCTTGTCATAATAGATGTCATGTAAGTGGTATTACTACCCATACATCCCTATCCTATTTCAGGAAGTGATGTGATGTTATTTTCTGTTGTTTTGTGCAATGAATGGTCTCCTTTTTGCTATCTTACGTTTTGGTCATTCAGGTTGGATCTGAATTCTTAATTTGTTCGTTGGATTTAGATTAGAAGATCCCTGTTAAATGAAGATGAATATGGATTCCGGAAGGCAAAGCGACCAATTTACTATGATGGAGGTTTAGAGGTAAATAGGTTCTGCCTCGTTTCATGACTTGGTCCATCGATACCTGCGGTTTTTCTTAAGTTAATTGAGCTCCACTTATTGAAAGCAGAAAACCAGGCAGACCCTGAATGCAAAAATCCACCAACTCAATTCTGCCATTGACAACGTATCTTCGCGTTTGAGAGGTGCAAAAAATCCACCAACCGTGCCAGTCGAGACAGACCCCGAAGTAGAAGCTACTATGTAAGACATATTTCTATTTGCTCAGCCATGAAGTTGTGAGTTTTCAGTGAGTGATGGTTTTTACTTGTCCTGTTATGGATTCTGAAGTCGGATAGTGTTTTGAAGATTTCATATGGGATTATTTGTCGATTTAACCGTCGATCCAGAATTGGCCAGGTGAACATAAGACAAATTTAATTTTGGAGATGACATGAATACAACATCCTTAATAAACATAAACTCATTGCAAACAAATTTAATTACTAAGATTTGATATTCAAACATGATACGATTACAGTTTAAGACAATGACATAAACGTAGAACTGAAAGGGGAAAAAAGGGCCCAAACGGCTTGGGACCGTTCACCTATTGGACTGCACTCGAATGTTCCACCACTGAACTATAGAACCAATAGTTTGAGTATTTATTTATTTTGTTTATATAAGAGATTGTTTGAGGAATTTATTTTTTGTTTATCTAAAGATCATTTTTAATTTAAAAAATACAAAAAGGGCCGAAAAGGATTTGAACAGGTGACTTCTTAATCTGCAGTCATGTGCTCTACCACTAAGCTATAGACCAAATTGTTTGAAGATATTATTTTTGTTTATCTAAAAATCATTTTTAATTTAAAAATAAAAAGAACCAACCGTGTTCAAGCCGGTGACCTTTTGTTCAGCAGTCAAATGCTCTACTAGGGATGGGCATGGGACTAGAACCCGACGGGTTCCGACTCGAACCGACCTGATCGGGTCGGAATTTTTTTTGGTTCGGGTCGGATTCTGGTTTGTGGTGAAAAATATCCAACAAGGGAAAAATAATTTTACTTTATATATTTAGGAATAATTATAATAATATCCCTCTATATATTATTTTTTTAATTAAATCACAGTTTTTTATTGAATAAAAATAATATTTTTATTATTTTGGGTCGGGTTTGACTTTTATTTCAAAAAATCTAATCGGATTTGGGTTGGATGGAAGATATATATATTATGCGAGTCAGATCGAATTTCGGATGGACCAAAAATACGACCCAACCGACCATGTCCATCCTTATGCTCTACCACTTGAGATATAGACTCAATTCCTAAAGGATTCAATTTTATGTATATAAAAATTGTTTCTAATTTAAAAAAAAATACAAAAAGGGCCCAACACTTGAGATATAGACTCAATTCCTAAAGAATTCAATTTTATGTATATAAAAATTGTTTCTAATTTAAAAAAAAAATACAAAAAGGGCCCAACAGGGGACCTCTTGATCTGCAGTCAAATGCTCTGCCACTGAGCTATGGACCCAATTGGTTGAGGATTCAATATTTTGTTTATATAAAGGTTGCTTTTAATAGTAAAACATCTTTCTTTTATTTTGATTCATTTTGAAAGTAGATACTTAGAATGTATATTATATCTTTTATTAAAATAGTTAACATATATTTAATCAGAATAAATATTTAAGTGTTTATTTTAATTTAAGTACTTAAAGCTCGTACATAACACTGATTAAAAAATATTTTAAATATCCGTTTAAAAGTATAATATATTTTACATGTATGTTTTATATGTAAGGGCCACGTAATATTTTTTTTGTAAAAATCGAATCGAAATAGTCAATAAATAAGTCATATATTAATAATTAATCAAGAAAAAAAATAAAAGAAGTAAATACTCTAAGCGTCTATTTTTATTAAAAGAAACTTTAAATAACATTTATATTTTAAGTATCTATTTTTGAATTAATTTTTTTATTTCTAATAATAAAATTGGTTATTGAAACACCAATTCAAATGAAATTTTATTTTACTTAAAACTCAATTCATAAAACATATGTTATAAAGAATAAAATGTGATATACACTCAAATATTAAAATAATAGGAAGAAATGAAATGAAAATAGTATTATCTATATTAGACCTAGGGGTGTGCAAATCCGGGTCGGTGATTTCTCGGTCCGTGTCCCGACCCGGATGTTACGGGTACCCGGTAATCGGGTACCCGATACCCGGTTTTTATTTTTTTTATTTTCAAATTATTAATTAAAAAATATATAAAAATTTAAATGTTCGAAACTTCGAATTACATACTCCAATATCCGAACATAAAATTTAAAAGTTCAAAAAACAAAATCTAATAATCCATAATATAAATAATCCATTATGTATATATATATATATATATATATATATATAAAATAAAAACTAACCGGGTATTTGGGTATCCGAAAAAACTCAATTTTATGACCCCAAGCCCGACCCGGCAGGATAAATTTTTTAGAAATTACCCGATTTTTTTAGGTTCGGGTCGACGGATTAAATCAACCGAATTGGGTAGTTTTGCACACCCCTAATTAGACCAAGAGTTCACAATATGTTCTAAATTGAAACAAATGTCTGTATACACATGCATTGAATAACATAAAATCCAAAACCCTAACCTTGAACTTCCTGTATCACCATGCAAAATTATTATTTTTTTCTTACAAGAAGTATACGTCCAACAAACGACACCACATGGCAAATTCAGTAACTTGGGTGAATCGTTACATTCATGTTCATGTCTAAATCAGTCACTCACAGATGTCAAACGTTGGAAAGAACCACACGTCTAGGCCTCCAAGTTGCCAGCCTCAATCCATTCTGTCCATAAAAATATGCACCAACTTTCATCAAACCTCAAAATTAATAATAATTAAAAAATTAAAATAGAAGAATCCGGCGAAGTTCATTCAAGTATTGAGGAAGTAATTTAAATTATTAATAATTATATAAAAAAATGCTTTTAAGTTTATTGGTTTAGGTTAAGATAGAGATTCGGTTCAAGATTTTTAAGCTAAAGATAAGCACCTTCCCATACACCACTCACTACTCCAAAGAAACCCACTTTTTTATTTTTCCTAGAAAATTTGCTCTGAAAACAAGCTGCAAGATGATGGATATTGATGAAGAAAAGAGCATTACTGTCAGAGAAATCAAACCAAAGAGCAGAAGAATCATGGTTAGGCCATCAGTTCTTGTTGTGTATATATATATATGTTGATTGCTTTGCGTATGAATATTGTTATGGAGAAGATGATGATAAAATAAAGTTGGGTTTGTGATTATAATTATATATAGGGAGGAGGAGGACCCGAAGATGATAATGAGGAGTGGCCGCCATGGCTGTTACCACTGCTTCAAACAAGCTTTTTTGGTCAATGCAAGCTACACGCTGATGCTCACAAGAGCGAATGCAACATGTATTGCTTGGATTGCTTGAATGGTGCTCTCTGTTCTCTTTGCCTCTCTTACCACAAAGACCATGAAGTTATTCAGGTATATGTAAATCTTTTATTTCTTTCATAGCCGTGTCCGATAAATATTGACACCTAAATTTAAGGGTAAATGAATAAGGTTTGAACGAATAAGGATGTGTTCGTGTTCATTTCTTCATTCGTTAAATAAACGAACAATTCATCGGAAAGTTTTGGTTTGGTTTTGATGGCATTTAACAAGGATTTGGGCAAGCTTTGGTTTGTTTGTTGCAGATAAGGAGATCATCGTATCATGATGTGATAAGGGCATCGGAGATACAGAGACTGATAGACATATCTGGGATTCAAACATACATAATAAACAGTGCTCGGATAGTGTTCTTGAACGAAAGACCACAGCCTAGGCTTGGCAAAGGTGTAACCAATACATGCCATGTCTGCCACCGCAGCCTCCTCCCTTCCTTCACCTTCTGCTCTCTCGGTTGCAAGGTTAGATCTATATTATTACAAGACATCAAAATGACTATTACATTTTGTACTAATGGCTGAACTAAGAATATTACTTTATTTCAGGTTGTTGGTACATCCAGGAGGATAAATAAAATCTGCAAAGAGGAAGACGAATCAGAGGGTGAGTGGATGAATGCAACAAGTAGCTTCACGCCGTCAACGCCGCCTCCTCTGTCGAAGAGGAGGAAGGGAGTTCCTCATCGAGCTCCGATGGGGGATCTCATTATACAATACTAATGTATATACATATGAATTACATGACAATAGTTAAACTACACCAATATAACATTGTTCTCATTGCATAAAATTGGGTTACACCAAGAAAAAAATGTATATTTAGAAAAAAAAAAAGGGTTAGATAAGAGGTGTGCAGGGTTTTTATACTGTTCATTTACAGAACTTCTTACTGTATATTGTGGGTTCTAATGTATAAATACATACATATATATATATAAACTGATATTATATTCATAGTAGAAGTTGGAGTAGATTTGATGACACGCATGATAAACAGAGCACATAATGTGATGATCAAATTAGAATCAATGGCTTCTGTTCTAAACATTTAATTGTCTTGTTTTCTTCTCCTACATTTTCCTACGAAACACAATAAAAATTTATTTATTTTTTTAAAGAAAAGCTTTATAAATGGGAATTTTCTTTTCTTTTTCCTCGAGCAAACTAATTTAAACCTGTTCAGTTCGATTCGTTGGGTGCAAATTTCAGCTTTATTCATTCAATTCCAAGTTTATTTGACTACTTTTACTTTTATTTCTAAACTGAATCGATCGAATACATTGTGTTATTTTTCATTTCTATGTGGTTAATTCTAGTTTTGAAAAATTAATGTTATTAAAGTTCAACCAACTAAATCCAATATGAGAAAGAAAGCTATCCAAGAATACACAGCTGGAAACAATGAAGCAGGTATGATTTACCAAAAAGCTGCAATTACAAGACAAAACCTCAGCTCCATTTAAATGATATATTCCTGAACAATCGAGTGTGGTCTCTCCTCTTCTGCATGTCACCCGATTTTGGGATAACTTTCCTACTCTGATGTCCTCAGCAGCGCTGACGACGTGCTTCTTCTAACCCTGCAATCAGGCTCCAGCAGTCTCCATTTCCCCACACTGAATCAAACAGACACGTATGACTGCTCTGAGAAAAATATGTAAACTAAAACCATTTAAAACTTAAAAGCACTCAATAACAGTGGCGAGTGTTCAACCTTTAGACGGTCCCTCGATCCAAGGTCCATTCATTTTATTTAGAATGCTACAAGCCGCACGGTATTCTAGGTTCTGTAGCAATTTTGGGGGTAAGAAGGAAACGCCTGCCACAATGTTGGAAACAAACTTCAAGCCACTATATTATGTATTTCAGAACAACTTAAATCTGAAACAAAAACATGAAAACTCTAAAAACATCAAATAGTTCAATATAAGAATCAACAGCAGCTGGTACTACAAAAAGTGAAAGATAATTGGCATGTCAACACTCAACAGTTGCTACTAAACTTTGGACAGGGAAGAGATAGAAGCCAAACTAGTTGGTATGGTCCAATACATCAATCCTCTTCTTTTTAGTTAATGCCAACTTTTAGATTTTTCATTTTTTTTTCTTTCTATAAATAGGAGAACCAACTTGACACTGGCCATTTCATCTGTTATGAACATTTTATTCCCAGCCTATCCTATTATCTTCATTTTTGTTATATATACATATCAGACTCACTTTATAGACAAAGCACACGCTGATGAGTACATTTGTACCCGTAAACTTTTCAATGGTCACTGAATTTATAACACAGCTTTTTAAAGATTAGACAAATCAAGGTCAATAAACTAGGAATTACAAAAAGAAACAGCATTTCTGGGTTATGTTTGTTCTGACTGTGGGGTGTTTGGCTGGCTGGCTACCCTTACTAATTGCTGAAACATCTTCCTCTCATTGATGGGATCCATTCCTGGGTGAAGGAAAGAAGAAAGACTCAAGAAATATCAACCACAAGGATTTTGATGCAGCAGGTATCCGTAGCATGGTGTGTAGAAGTTGATTCAGGCTTACCTTGGTTAATCTCATCAACCACTCTAAAGGGGCAATTAGTGAGATCTTGAAGAGAAACAAGATAAAGAATCGTTGAAACTGAACGTTCCTACAAAGAAAAAATTCAAAAATTGAAGCAAAAAAATGCTTTTCCATATTGATTCATGAATTAAAGAATTTGATTGAAATACCCCTCCAGATTGATGATGAGCACTGAGAACTTGAAGTTGACATGCTTGCCTGATGCACAACACGAAAAAGAGAAGGAAAAAAAAAACGATTCAACAGCATTAATCACTCAGAAACATAAATCACATAAGCAATTCTACATGTCAAAAAAGCATAGTCCGAATCATTGTAAATTATATAACAAAATGTATTGAAATGAAACAAAGGGAATATAACTTACACTAGACAAATAAATAAAACATAGGAATACTTATCTCACCAACAAATCATTAAGATGGATATACATATATGGAACCAGTCTAAATAATTAGGTGTTTGACAAAGTTATACTCCATAAATGGGCACAGTTTATGGATGGACAAACATAATACTAGATTTAGTCTGTTTACATTTACTCCTGTCCAAACGCCAAAAATAAGTAATTGATAGTGTATGAAATAACTTTAATACGATAACATGACACAGGAGTTGCATTATTTAATAGGCAATGAAAAACTTAGGGAATTATCCAGTCAGGAATTATCCAGGTGTTGTCTCTTTTGCCACAGACATACTCATACAACATTCATATTTATGGGAAGTATTTTTTTTTCATCTACTTTTTTAGGTAAGGTAATTGGAATCAGAAAGACGATGTTGTAGAGGACTTGGTATAGGTCACATGGGAGCTGTTGGATCTGTTGCTATTTCCAAGAAGCGCCAAGATTTTTTTTTGTTTGTGGTAGTAGGTGAGCACTTATTTTGGGAAGCATGTCTGTTTAGTTGCAATCTAAACTTTCTTATGAGTTAGTCAAACAACATGACGCTTAATTGCTGATTGTTCTCAGTTTGTGGCATGAATGAAGTGCTAAGATTAACCTTCTCTTATGTGATTTAAAAGAGCTTATTATTCCTCTTGACTTGACAAATGTAATTAGGTTTTGGGTTGTAGTTGACTTAAGATGCACCGGGCATTCTGCCTTTAAAACTGTCTGCCAGTTTTGGTTGGCAGCATGACGTTAAATAATGTTCCAACATAGCTGATGGTTCATGCCTAAAAACGTTTGAAGGACATACATCAAGTGTATTAAGAGCATCATTTCTTACACGTGGGACCCAGTTTGTATCATGCGGTAATAACTTCTTTCACTTGTTAGGATTTTCTTCCATTTTAACGTTTTGGTGACATTTTAGCATGTGTTTCATCATTCAGGTGCTGATGGGTTACTTAAGCTGTGGACAATCAAAACAAATGAATGCATTGCCACCTATGATCAGCACGAGGACAAGATTTTGACTTTTATTTATTTATTTATTTTACTGTTAGGGTAGTTGCATGTATCTTTACTTATTGTGCATGGAGGGAGGTGAATATTTTAAGAGATTCATTTGTACATGGAGGAAGATGAAGCTGTGTGGCATTAATGCTTTTTTCTGATAAAATGTGGTCCGTAGGTTTGGGCATTGGCTGTTGGAAAGAAAACAGAAATGTTCGCAACAGGTGGTAGTGATGCAGTGATCAATCAGTGGTATGATGCAACTGCTGCAGTGAAAAAGAGGAAGCTTTTCATAAAGAGGTATGCCATCTGTACTTTTGTACTTTTATATTGTTTCCTCTTGATGCATATTGGAATGTAAAATGTGAGAATTTATAATGTAGGCCCTTGGAAATGTTAAGTGAGTGAATTACTTGTAGCTAATATGTTTCAACGTTGATTCTTGAATTTTTATAAGCTGCCTGAAATAAGCTGGTACACAGAAAAGTAAAGGTTTTCTGCAAGACTGGTATATTTTCTTAAGAGAAAATCGAGTGGAGGACTAGAAAGGAGAATAGGAGTTAAAAAAATTCCAGTGCCTTCTAAATACTTCTTTTATCTTTTGAAAACTTGTTTTAACCAGGCAATGTGAAATGAAACGAATTAAAAATTTACTTCACCTGAATGAGACCCAAATACTGAAATTATTTTCCCTTTTTCCTTCCTGCTTACGGGCAACCCTCGGGCTATGTAAAATACTTGGTGCTTCTTGGAGCTGGAAATTAAAACCTTATGCCAAAGTTAGCTTTTTGTAGGATCCTGGCACTTTTTTTTGTCAATTGACACTTTTGATGCGATGAAGGGTTTTCCCCCCTTCCCTTATTGTTTGTTGTTTCAATCATGTTTTTCCATTCTGCACAGGAAGAAGGGTTTTTGAGAGGGCAAGAATTAGAAAATGCAGTATTAGATGCTGAGTACACAAAGGCAATACAAATTGCTTTGGAGCTCCGGAGACCTCATAAACTTTTTGAGTTGTTTTCTGAGCTCTGCAGGTTAGTAATGCTTAGTCATATATGTGCTTCCTTTGTTTGTACTACACAGAACATTTTCTCATAACAAACGCAATATAGGATGAGAGAAGCTGGGGATCATATAGACAAGGCTCTTCATGCCCTTGGCAAAGAAGAATTTCTTCTACTTTTTGAGTATAAACGAGAATGGAATACAAAGCCGAAGCTGTGTCACGTTGCGCAATCTGTTCTTTTCCGAGCTTTTAACATTCTTCCTCCAACAGACATTATTGAGGTATTCTTTCGTAACAGTCACCCTTGATGTTAATACCCTTTTTTTGGCTGCTGAGAAGATGTATATATGTATATGATGGCTTTGGATAACCCAAGATATTTGATCACAATCCCTCCACTTAATTTGAAGCAAAAATTAAGTAAAAACATTGTCACATAGCTTACCACAAATTAAGTTTAGATTTATCATTTTGTTTATTATGGAAGTTGAATCTTAGTGTTAATTCTCTTTCAAAATTTTTGATTACTTTATCTAAATGCGCTTTTAGCTCCTAGAAGCACAATGTTTATTGAGAAAATCAACACCAAGGACCATCACACGATGTTGTTATCTCTAAGCATCAATGGAGAATCCCCTACTTCCATTCAATAGCATTGATGTCTTCACAGACGATAGCGGAACAATGACCCCTTTCAGTGGTTTCGATGAGGAATATGATATAGTGTCCATTAGCCAATCTTCGTATAAGATCGAAGTACTGCATTTGTATTCGTTTTTAAGACATTTTCTCATGCTTAAATTCCACTATTCTTCCAGATATTGATATCATAAATAATTAAAATAAAAACAATATTTCTTCAAATATAGACGGCTTTGCTTTGCATGAATTCTCCTAAAATAGCCTCAACGGGTGCGACTAAACGACACAGTTTGGCTAAGCTACTACCAAAATAACAAATGCTCTCTATATTGTCCACCCCATAACATCTTCAGCGCCATAACTTCTCTCCCCGAGGAACAAAAAAAACTTCCACTTCCTTTAAATTTTGCTGGAAAAAAGGAAGCAAAGGTGAAAACAAGGTTTTTTTTTTCGGCGAAAGAAGGTTTGATCTTTTTGCCATAAACGGAACTTCATGGAGGTTAGTGTAATTCTTCGCGAGTTTTCTTTCGTTTTCCTGTATGACTGTATCTTGTTTGGTTGGCTAGAAAATTGATGATAATTCATTTTTTCCCTTATTTCATTAGAGAATGGAAGAGAAAGTCTGATTTTTTTTAATTATTCAAGGCTTCGTTTATCATTATGATATTATCTAATCTAAGTTTAGCATTCTTCCATTATTATGCCGTTTAATTTCTTCCTTTTACGTATTATAATACTGCCATCTTTTATCTGCTTCTTGGCAATTTTATTTATATTTCTGTATACTACGTTATATTTATACGTTTTTTTATTATGTATGTTCATTGGATTTGTTGCAGACAATATAGACGGATCTGTTTGATTTCATTTCATCGTGCGTGTATGATCATATGAATTAAAAATTTATTGGGTTGATAAAAGTAAATTGCTTAAAGTAATGCTTCTTTTAAAAAGATTTAGAAAGTTTACAGAATTTCTTGTGCTAAGGCTTCCACAATTTGAATTTTACAATTCTGTATCTTTGTATGGCAGCGTGTCTGGGATTTTCTTTTTGATTTAACCATGTTTTCTCGGTGAAAATGCTTGAAACAGTGGAGGATAGAATACAATGTCGTCCCGATTGTTCATACTCCGCTTAAGAATACAATCCAACTAGTACATCAAAGAATTTTAAAAAATTGAACATGAACACATATCTGTATACAACATTCACATCGAAGTACAAGTAATATAAACAGAACATGCTTCATTAGTTTTGATGTTCACATGATTTTCATTTTTCTATTATCAGATCCGATCAGTGAAAGTGAGCAACGTTTCCTTGGGCGCATCCGAGAACGATATTAGAGAATTCTTTATCTTCTCCGGTGAAATTGAATATGTTGAAATGCACCGGTTAGTTGTTACCATATAAGGTGTTTGAATTTCACTGTCCCTTTTTTATTTGCATGCTTTTCTCCACCGTATTAGATGTAAAGAAAAAAAGGTGGGAAATTGTTGGAATTACTTGTCATGCCTTCTGATTCATGTAGTTGTTCCAATATAGTGATGTTCTGAATTCTTCTGAACGCTTTCTTCTCTAGGTTTCTTACTGCTTTTGCTTCGTTTTTTCTTTCTTTTCTTTCAGTGATGAGCGATCACAAGTTGCATACATTACTTACAAGGATCCACAGGGAGCAGAGACTGCAGTTCTTCTTTCAGTATGAACATGTCTCATTTCTTATGTTTTATGTGCTTATGTAAGACACACACTGTAATGCATTGCCTGTGGAAAGATCATACCTTCATAGTCCATGCTCATGTTTAAATGTGTAGGACATATGTATCAGACGGGAGTGTACTTAAATGAAAATGAAGAGTCGAAGTAACATAGGTTTGAAATATTTTATAATAATTGTTTTAACCGAAACTTGATGTCAAGGAACTTACCAAACCTAATTCCACATTTCAATGCTGTTAAAAAGCCTTTTGACTGATGTGTGATTAATTTTTGAACAGTTTATTTGATATCAGAAACCATTCAGCATCATGCGGTAAAACAGCAGAACATGGTTTTCATTCCAATCGTAAAGGCTAATGTTGATTGATTGAATAGTAAATTTTTCGTTCCGATTGTATTGATTCGAAGTACATGGTTTTCTTCAGGGTGCAACAATTGTGGATAAGTTTGTTACTATAGAGCTGGCTACTGATTACAAGCCGCCTGCTAATGCTTTCACAACACCGGTAGGACACTACTTTAATCCGCTTTGGTTTCACTTACTAATTGATGATCTTTGATTTGAAAGAATTGTTTGATCACTTCAGGCAACAGGGGATAGTGGCCAGGCAGATGTAGCTTACACGAAGGCAGAGGATGTGGTTAGCACCATGCTAGCCAAGGGATTCATCATTGGCAAAGATGCATTGAACAAAGCAAAAGCCTTCGATGAGAAGCATCAAGTCACTTCGACCGCCTCTGCGAAGATCACTTCCCTGGATCAGAAGATCGGTTTTTCCGAGAAAATCAGTGCAGGCAGCACTGTGGTGAACGAAAAAATGAGGGAGGTGGACCAGAAGTATCAGGTTTCCGAGAAGTCGAAGACCGCATTGGCAGCCGCCGAGCAGTCCGTCAGCACTGCCAAATCTTCCCTCATGAAGAACCGTTATGCTTTGGCTGGAGCCGCGTGGTTCACTGCTGCATACAAAAGGGTTGCCAAAGCAGCTGAAGATGTGGGGAAGAAGACAAGAGAGAAGGTTTTGGCTGAGGAACAAGCTCACAATCCGGAGGACCCTGCACACATGGACGTGTTTAGCACTCCCAGAGCTGGTCCTGATGCCAGCGAAGAACCTTCCGATCCCTCACCCGAACCAGGTTTACTCCTTCTCGACGGTGGAAGAAAATAGAAAGGAGAGTTCATTTCTGTGGTCGGTAAGAAAGATAAAAAATGAGAAGTATTTGTTTTCATCAATTGCTCAATTGAGTTTAAAAGTGCGAAAGAATACATATTCTTAATAAACACGTATGATATGTTTTATGCATTAAAATGAAAAATAATATTTTCTCTCTCATTTTTCTTTCTTATTAAATACATTAACATTCAATTCATTACTTTTTTTCTTTTCTTTTCACCGTGTATAATAAAATATACAATAATTTTTAACATATATTTTTAGATATCTTTAATAGAGTTTTCAATAAGAGATACTAAATCATATCTTATAAGATTTTTAACTTCGGATTGGATTGAACGTGGACTAAATAAAATTTTTCTAAACTTAGATCGAGACAAATGATAAATAGAGGGTATTGTACTAGAATCAGATTTGGTTAAGTTAAAAATTCGATTTGGCTCGACCTATAATTATCCCTAATCACGATGACGAATACGATTGTGTCGACAATACTCCGATTGAAACTCCTCCAAACTGGTCACATTAGTCACTAGACTCCAATCAAAAGCCTTTGAGGGACCTCTTTGGTTTGTGACAGGGGATAAATCAGAATTTTGCTTTAGCTGTCAAAATAAAATCGCAATTCTTGAGGGTTAAGGTATAAAATTTTCACTAAAAATACTTAAATTGATGTATAGAATTTTTAGAGGGATCATAAGAACAATATAACCATTTGGATCAAGGGGCGAAAATAATACGTTAGCGGCCTCGGTTTAATTTGTTTTGTGATCCGTTTTCTTTCTCGTGAGAGCTTAAAGAGCTCAAGTTTGTTTCCGGTTATTGCTGCGATACTGATTTAGTTTATAAATATATGTGATATAATTATAAAAAAGTAAATATTAAGGGAAAAATATACAAACGGTCCTCGATTATAGGATACTAATTTATCAAGTTCTTCAATTATTAAAAGTTAAAAAATGCTACTCTGATTATATAGTGTTTCTTTGTTGAGTCGTTTGATTATTAAAAGTTACAAGATTATCATTCGACTATTCATTATATTCCAAACCCGTCATTTTCCGCTAAAAAATAGACGATATTCTGATTTGAATATTAATCCGTTAATTTTATTAAGTTTTTCAATTATTAAAAGTTACATAATGCTACTCTGATTATATAGTGTTGCGTTGTTGAGTCATTTGATTATTAAAAGTTACAAGATTGTCATTAGACTATTCATTATATTCCAAACTCATCATTTTTCACTAAAAATAGACTATATTCTAAGTTGAATATTAATCCGTTCATTGTGATATGATAAAACTCGACCCCAAAATTTCAAACGACTATCTTATTCTAGTTATCATGTTAACGTTCAGCTTAAACAACCGTAAAATTTTAATGAAAAAAGATGAGTTTGAAACATAATAAATAGTCGAATGACCATTTTGTGATTTTTAATAATCGAGAGACTTAACAAAGTGACATTCTATATTGAAGAACCATTTTATAACTTTTAATAGTCGAATGACTTAATAAAACAATATCATTTAGTTAGGAGATCATCTGTATACTTTACCCAAATATTAATTACTATATTATATAAAGACTTGGTCTGGAAATAGGAATCAGTTTCCTAGTAAATAGATTTCTGCTATTGAAGACAAGATCCATCACCTAGAGAACTCTTTTCAGAAGAATCGAGTTTTAGGAGTTATTGATAGTTCATCA